ACTCAGTTATCTCATCAGTTTTCATTTGCTTTAAGAGATTGTTGTTTCCAAAAAAAAGTTTTCAGCTTATTACAGACCTCCTTTTTATCACCTGAACCATCTTCATTTGTGACAATAAATATCCAGTGGTTCATGAGATATTTTACTAACAGGCACCCAGACAAATGATAACCCACCTTTTATAGCTGCAGGTAATAAAAGGCCTGTTAGAAATTAATTGTGCAAATAATTCTGCTTTTATCTGCTGAGTCATCAATGGTAAAAACACAACCTGACTCATGAACTTGTTGTGCTAAATAATGACTTCTGTTGGCACCAAATCCTGGAGAAGCTTCTGGAGCATGGATTAAAAAACACACAAGTTCTGCTCTTAAAACAAGATGTCTCCAAAGTTGAACTCAACTTTGTCTTGTGTGACTATTAAAAGAAAAACAACTTTTTTAGATCGTTTAAAAAAAGCAGAGAATCATGTGAGATGCCAAATACCCTAGTGCTGTGGCCAGATTCCTTCAGGGGGTTAAACTGATCTTGATCACCGTTAAGAGACAATTACACGAAATACATAAAGCACTACTTTTTATTTCTGATGTGATGTTTATTCCAACTTTTTTTATTCTATATTTGTTTGTGAGAATAAAGTGATGCAGTTTTTAGACTTTGCACTCTTCAACAAGAAGAAAAATACATGTATAAATCACCTGAAATATCCTAATGTATTCATGAGTTTATAAAAATCATTGAGGGGAATGAAATTTCCCAGAATAATAGGATAAAAAACTAATACATGTTTCTGTGTTAAACAATGGGACATCTGGATTGTGTTTCGACAAAAAGCTCCCATTCAGCTCCTTATTAAAAATGCAAAACTTAAAGATTTCCATGGGAACAATAAGAAACCTCCACTCGGAGCCCTTGTAAATGTCTGGTCTTGGTCTTTCTTTAATTATGCATACGTTATGTCAGACTGTGAGTCAGAGGAAGTTCCCATGCCGGACCCTGACAGCTAACGTGGCCTCCGTGTTGGCCCTCTGAACCGCAGCAGACCTGCAGAGAGCATTTCTGTTGGTGGRTGAAGAGATGAAAAGAGGAACCTCCAGCCTCGAGGCTATCAGCTTTTCATTAGTGAGAGGAGTGCGATCGGTGGAGAGGCCTTGCAGGGCCACGTTGGTTATTAGGGTTATTTGGGGCTCCCACTGCCTCCTATTGTGCATTGTCTCCACAGAGGTCCAACAGTGAGTCATTGAGTGGGACATTTAACTGCCCATTAGCATGCTAATTATGGGATATGTGTGTTTCTGTCTGTGCCACTGAGCGTCCATCAAATTCTGCTCTTTTCCATCTCTCCCCTGGGATTTACACTCCTCCGCTTCCCTTTGCTTTTGTCCATTATCTCCCCAAGGCACCGCTGGTCTCTGTGTTCCTGCTGACCCCCTCTTCAGACTCCTTCCTGCTGCAAACATGTCTCTGTTCCTGAATGTCTTCCCTTTGTCACAACAGGGGACAGAGTTATAGCCTCTTCAGTCAAACTACATAAATTACACTTTGTGCGATCTCATGTAAGGTGTCGCAGGTGTGTTGTGAAATGTGTAGAACTTTGAGTGTGTGTTAGGAATTACAACTGGATTAATAATCTGCAAAAAGAGAAAAAAATCTGCTCTCCTTGCGAGACACTTTGTGTTCTGCTTGAGCATTTCATACGTAATGAGAAACTGCAGTGCAGGACTGAAGAAAAAAGCTTTTTGGAAAACTTCTTTTTGATTGTGATTGGTTCAAAAGTATAGATATAAACAATTCTGACACTCTATTGTTTTTACAATCCATCCCACCTGTATGACACAAATTCTTGACATAGATATGACAGTCAATGTCAGATACTGAAGGAACATTTATTCTGTTTATCGCTGATTTTTAATGCATCACACATACTGTCAACTAGGATTTTTTCTTTCATAATTATCTATTTTAATTAAAATGTGAGTGACATGTCAGGTCAACACTCCTTGATGCATTAATCACGCACAACACATAACTTTTGTTCCCACTA